CTCTTCCTTCTATCCCTTCCGCCGCGTTTCATTAATCAGCGCGCTCTTCCTGAAGGGTGCAATAAGAATTTGCGAAAATGAATAATTGCCGGCGGGCGAGAAATACTATTTCGGTTTAATTATCGATGACGGGGCGACATTAACGGTAAATCGGATGCAACGTTTGGTCAAATTAACGCGACGCGTTATAGTGTGAAATATGTTAGTTAGTATATAAAAGTATATAAAGTATAATAATAAAAGTACGTAAGCCAAGATGTCATGAAAAATGTTCAGTCTCAGCGCCGTTCAATTTACGTCAGGGAATTTTCTCCTGCTTCTTTTTCGTCGTAATAACAAGCTTATTAGAACGATTACGAGCTGCCGTGATTTGAGGAAATGGAATGAGATATAGCCATTTGATTTCCTACTTTCGTAACGATTAATAAAAACTCAAGTAATTTCCAGTCTATGGTCATCAGAAATTTAAGCAATGTGCAATACAAATATCACATATCACGTTAAGTTAAAAATTATTAATACATTGCTTTACATTTATTAGTGTCAGAAATATTCAAATCGCATAAGATAAACTGACGCAACATACGAATGACAAGTTGAGACATATTTCAAAAGACCCTTGAGTTATTGACAAGCCAATCACGCTTCGGCAATTTTAATCGGCTCGTGCCTGTATACTCGTCAAAACGACCTCTCGAATAAAAAAATATCTGGAAGTCGTGCAATCGATTAAATCTCGTGTGCTACTTACTTTATCTAGATTTGCATATTATTTTTTTTCGCGAACGCTAAATCCCGAAACTAAACTCTGTTTATTTTGCACGATTTAGTCATGCAATGCTATATAAGTGAAAGTCTTTAATATGGGCCAATGCACGGGCGCATTCTGAGTAAACATCGTGCATTGGCTTTATCCGGTCGTACGTATAACCATGTAAATGTGACTTTCGTCAGCCGCAAAGCTAATGCGGATCGACTTCGTCAAGGCATTTTCTTGTGATCGTGGTGCCCCATCAAGGCCGCCTAGATTGCTTTCCGGATCGCCCGACGGCTTTCTAGTTGACATGGTAATTTAAAAGCCACTCTCGCTTGAAATCACCGCCTATCATTTTCTCATCAGACGCTTTTTGCAAATTATTAAAATTTCAGGAATTTCAAGATTGATGTCTATAGAAACCAGTTATACTTAAGTTATATTTTCGCAATTAGCAATATTACGAAATGTGAGCGTGTAAAAAATCGCGAGTTTAACACACGCGCTACGCGAAAATGACAAATGGATTTTTTCAAAAAAGAAAAGAAAAAAAAAATACATTTACCATCAAAAGCTTCTTGGAAGAGAAGGTAAATGACTAAAGTTGGAAAGTGGAACGTCGCGAGAAAATATTGTGTGAGTATCCCTCGCGTTATGTATAATACCGTCATTACACGTATCCGATTCAAGCGCGCGGCTAATTGTACGGTTTGCATTTCGTGGTAATTATCGGATAATAATTAATGTACGAATGTACAGCGCGGCCCAACACCCGACATATTGTACGCGTAATTACGGGGTACGTCGTATCAATGTTGCGTAGCTTCTTTTTAGTAAGTATGATCGTCCAAGTAACACTTAGCAGAATTTTAAGTAC